GTCGAGTTAAGATAATAATTATATATTATTGTTTTTCATTAAAAAAATCTTTATTTCGAAATAAAATATCATTTGTTTTGAAAAGTATTCAAATTGTTAAAAAGAATTTTTCAAATTTAACCAAACGTTTTATATTATTGAAATAGATTTAAAGAATAGTTTTTATATTCGTAGAATTAAAAAAACTGAACTTTCATATTAAATCTTTAGTCTTATTTTTTCAAAGCTAATTTAAATAGTTAACTATCTCCTTGCATTTGGTCAAAAATTCATTATTTATTATATAAATCGATTTCTAGATGAATCTATATTGATTATCTTATTATATATAAAGATTGACAACGAAAATTATTTATTATTTTAATAATCTATCCTAGAAACATTATATTGACCTGAACAGTTATGAAACAATTTATTTCTCTCTACTGAACGATCGCTAACAAATGATTAATATTTCATCCGATTGGAACTTCTTTTGTCGAAAATCTGTTTTTAACTGCTAGATAGAAACGTTCTATAAGACGAAAGAATAATAAAATAGTTCGAATTATCGATTAAAAATTTCTAAGGAAATAAATTTAATCGATCCTTATAAAAATGTTTTGAAAATAAATTTATTTGAATAGGATATTTATCGATATGGTTAAACAAAGAACTTCGAAAATAAAAAATGAAAATATTTTGTTTCTTTATATTTATTAATATAGAAGTGATGATGTACCTGATTAATACAATCGAGTTCGTTATATTCCAAATTCTTCTAAAGTATTGTCTGATCTTTGGAAAATAAATAAAGATTTTGTAAGTTAAATAAAAGTATTGATAAGGATGTATCAAAATCATTGAAAGAATTTCGTTTGAGTGATGTTGCACATTGTCATCGTTCTCCATATAGAACAAATGGTGCTTTATCGATTTTAAATCAAACAATTGATGATTTAATTCAAGTACATGATTTTATTGATTCCAAAAAGAAAAGAATGGCTTGAACAATTTTAAAAAATTATTGAACAAGCTAGAGATAAACAAGTATTTATTTATTGATTTATTTTTAATATACGTCAACTATTCGTCAAAGAATGACTAAACTAAGAGATAATTATGAAAAAGCTCAACAAAAATTAGAAACAGCTGATGCCAATTTAAAAATGTATCTGTTTTTATTATTTAAAATAAAAAATGTTCTAATTATTTTGTTAAGATTTCATACACGATCTGATCGTTTGATATTAGCAAATTTTGATGAACGTTTACGTGAATTAGAAGATATTCATTGTGAATATGAACAATCTCGAACATTATCACGCAATATATATGCAATTGAAACATAAAATAGCTAGTGAAGAACATTCAATTACAGTTAAACTTCTTTATCCATATTTATATGAAGAAAATCAAGTTTATAATAATATATCTCGATATTTATCATTAAAAATGCCTGAAATTGAACAAAGATTAGAAAATGATGATTTAATTCCATTATTTAGTTATAATCTTATAAAACATTGTTCAAAAAGAAAAGATACATTAATTGCTTATCCAATTGAAATATGTATTCGTCTATTAGAAAATAGTTTAAATGAAGAAAGTCTTTTTCGTATTGCACCATGACAAGGAAAACAAAAAAAAATTGTTGCTGAACTTAATTTACAAACAATTGATAGGGGAACAAGATTAAATGAACTTAATTATGATCCACATGTTCCTGTAAGTACACTTAAACAATATTTAAGAGAACTCCCTGATCGTTTACTTACAGCTGCACTTTTACCACAATGGAATAGGACTATTTCACTAGGGTTAACACTTTTTTCTCTTTTTCTTATTCAATTATACTAAATAAATTTATTTTCATTTATTGACCTCTAGCAAGGAACTGCCTCTTATGCACTGTCGACGCCCTCTTTCTGTCCCGTGGAATGCGGCAAGGAGTTAGCTCTGAAGTCTTTATTTATTTACATAAATGAAAACTTGTTTATTTTAATTAATTATTTTGATGAGTTTATGGAACCTTCCTTCATTTTATAAATTCATATTAATTATATCATGTTTGGGTATAAATTCTTGAGGATTATTTAGAAAACGTAAGAGAGCATCATAATGATTTCCGGTGAAATAAATACATAAACTCAACTTGTTCATATCTGATTTGTATCCAATATATTTAAGATGACCACCTGCGGTTCCTTTATCGAATCGATTGATCAATTTTTGTAGACTGATATCGGATGGAATATAGTGTCCATTTTTT